GGTGAGCTGGATTCTGTGGCCTCAAACATCCTGAAATAGAGCAAATAATGTGACAAACTCTGAGGCTGGATCTTTATCAGTGCCAGGCAACAGAAATGTCTCTTCTACTTTCTGTGTTCTCACCTCACATATTCCTTTGCAAGGATCTGTCACCCTCTGTTGACAGAGACAATTTTCAAAGGTATCAGAGCAACTTAAAGGCTCCAAGTGCCACCTTTAAAGTCAAATCTGTGTTTTCCACAAGCATGGGTTTGTTTCAAAGTGGAATACCACCAACAAAGTGCTGATTGAAGCCCAAATGAATCCCTACGGATGCATCCTTAGCATGAACTGGGGGAAAGGCACTGTAAAGGAGAAACTGGGAACAGCTCATGCCTAGAGATTAGAGAGCTGTGGGGCCTGGACTGCCTGGGTAACTCATGGAAAAACACCTAAATAACACCAAAATGTTATGTTCTGGTGTTCTTAACAGCCACCTGACTGCACAATGACATTAAAAATATTTTTTTAAAATTTGGGAGATATTCCTGCACTACTTTGCCAGTTCTACCTGCCCAGAGCTGCCCTGGAGCCAAGAGATGACCTTTTGTCTGGAGTGAAGAGCTTTGCTCATATTCACAAGGAACATTTTAATTTAAGCCCAACTTTTGAGTTGAATGGAAACCAAAACATTACAGATTATGTTTGATAGATCAGCACTGAAACCGAATCAGAGACTCTCAAAATGGTTTGGGTTGGAAGGGACCTCAAAGCCCATCCCGTGTCACCCCCTGCCATGGGCTGGGACACCTCCCACTATCCCACTATCCCAGGCTGCTCCAAGCCCTGTCCAACCTGGCCTTGGACACTTCCAGGGATGGGCAGCCTGTGCCAGGGCCTCAGCACCCTCACAGGGAAGGATTCCATTTAGCTACAGCCAAGGAGAAACTGAAGCAAGCACTGGAGCAGGTGGACTCCACGGGGTGCCTCCAGTGGTGACACCCAAACATGTTGGAAGACCCCACAGCAATTTCTGAGAGCTGGAAGGAGCTGCTTGGAAGATGATTGTTCTTAAACACCTTTAATCTTTGGTGACACCACTGGAAGCAGGTGGGCTTTGGCTCGAAGGTGTATGGAGGCCACTGTCCATGAACATGGAAGAATCTCACTCTCCATAACTCTCCTCACTTGGTCTGAAACCTCAGAGTGCCAATTCCCTGTCACAACTCCAGGCTTCAGGCATGGTGGCTGGAAATCTGGGAAAGCCCCTGCGTGTGCTAGTCCACTGGAACGTGCTGTGCAGGGAGGTTTGGAGTCCCCATCCCTGAAGGCATCCAAGGAACACTTGGATGTGGCACTCAGAGCTCTGGGCTGGGTGACAAGGTGGGGATCAGACACAGGTTGGACTTGGTGATCTTGGAGGGCTTTTCCAACCTCAGTGATCCCAGGATTCTGTGATGTCTCCTCCTTTCCCTGCTGACTCAAGTGCTCTCTTCAGCCCCCAGTGACCTTCACTGAGCTGCACAGCCATGCCTTGAGCTGTCTGCAAACTCAACAGCAAAAAATATTTGGGGTGCCTGAGAAGGGCATCCACAAGACCCACCAGGACCCACTGGATCAGTCCTGTGCCTACGATTCCCATTGATCCACTCCTGCCTCTCCTCTTTAATCAGGCACCTTGTAATGGTGGGAAGGGACATTTACAGCCACACTCCTTCTCCTCCCAAACAATCAATGGTTATTAAGTGCATCTTTGGGTTGGGGAGGTGAGGAGAGAGACAGCAAGAATTCACATTGCTCATCAACCCAGAGAGACTTCATTTTCTATTAGGGCCGATAAACAAGCTGGGAAAATAAATCAGTTACCTGCTGCTGCCTGACAGGCATCACCAAGGAGCTCCTCGGAATGTGACACACTGGGACTGGGTTCCCACTTCTGTTGGGGTGAGGCAGGAGCACCGACAGCTTCCCAAAGGGCTTTTCATCCTTCTTTTTGTGGAATGAAGCACTGGGAGGCTGATCTGCTATGGAAGCATCCAGAAAAGGCATCCCAAGCTCTGCCAAACAGCAGGAGGAGTCAAAAAAGCCTTTTAGAGAGTGGAGA